CTCACAGGTGTGGCATATCAAGATGCTGATTAGACAGCATGATTATTGCACAGGTGTGCTTTAGGCTGGCCACAATAAAAGGCCACTCTAAAATGTTCAGTTTTATCACACAGCACAATGCCACAGATGTCGCAAGTTTTGAGGGAGCGTGCAATTGGCATGCTGACAGCAGGAATGTCCACCAGAGCTGTTGCCCGTGAATTGAATGTTCATTTCTCTACCATAAGCCGTCTCCAAAAGCGTTTCAGAGAATTTGGCAGTACATCCAACCGGTCTCACAACCGCAGACCACGTGTAACCACACCAGCACAGGACCTCCACATCCAGCATGTTCACCTCCAAGATCGTCTGAGACCAGCCACTCGGACAGCTGCTGCAACAATCGCTTTGCATAACCAAAGAATTTCTGCACAAACTGTCAGAAACCGTCTCAGGGAAGCTCATCTGCATGCTCGTCGTCCTCATCAGGGTCTCGACCTGACTCCGGTTCGTCGTCGTAACCGACTTGAGTGGGCAAATGCTCACATTCGATGGCGTCTGGCACGTTGGAGAGGTGTTCTCTTCACGGATGAATCCCGGTTTTCACTGTTCAGGGCAGATGGCAGACAGCGTGTGGGGCGTCGTGTGGGTGAGTGGTTTTCTGATGTCAATGTTGTGAATCGAGTGGCCCATGGTGGTGGTGGGGTTATGGTATGGGCAGGCGTATGTTATGGACGACGAACACAGGTGCATTCATTGATGGCATTGTGAATGAACAGAGATACAGTGACGAGATCCTGAGGCCCATTGTTGTGCCATTCATCCACGACCATCACCTCATGTTGCAGCATGATAATGCACAGCCCCATGTTGCAAGGATCTGTACACAATTCCTGGAGGCTGAAAACATCCCAGTTCTTGCATGGCAAGCATACTCACTGGACATGTCACCCATTGAGCATGTTTGGGATGCTCTGGATCGGCGTATACGACAGCGTGTTCCAGTTCCTGCCAATATCCAGCAACTTGGCACAGCCATTGAAGAGGAGTGGACCAACATTCCACAGGCCACAATCAACAACCTGATCAACTCTATGCGAAGGAGATGTGTTGCACCGCGTGAGGCAAATGGTAGTCACACCAGATACTGACTGGTTTTCGGACCCCCCCAATAAAGCAAAACTGCACGTTTCAGAGTGGCCTTTTATTGTGGCCAGCCTAAGGCACACCTGTGCAATAATCATGCTGTCTAATCAGCATCTTGATATGCCACACCTGTGAGGTGGGATGGATTATCTCGGCAAAGGAGAAGTGCTCACTATCACAGATTTTTTCAGATTTGTGAACAATATTTGAGAGAAATGGTTATTTTGTGTATATAGAAAATGTTTTAGATCTTTGAGTTCATCTCATGAAAAATGGGAGCAAAAACAAAAGTGTTGCATTTATATTTTTGTTCAGTGTATATTGGATTCTGTTGCTCCTTTTACGCTTAGACGCACCAAAGTTCTCTCAGAGCCGTGGCTCAATGACTTTACTCGTGCTCTCAGACGCGCTTGCAGGCGTGCAGAGAGAAAATGTAAAAAGAATAAACTCCATGTCTCCCTAGAAATCCTTCGTGCTTGCCTCTCCGACTACCAGACGGCAGTCAAAGCAGCCAAAACAGAGCACATTTCTCTCTTAATCTCCAAAAACAGCCATAAACCTCAGGTTCTTTTTAATGTCCTCAATTAGATCATTAATCCCTGTGATGTTTCTCCAATTGTGCCATCAACTACTCTCTGTGATAAGTTTATTACATTATTTATCGAAAAAGTATCTGCTCTTAGGCTAGCCCACACTAGTGCTACCCCAGATCCTGCTCCCTTTCTGTGCCCTGCTGTCCTCGACCACTTTGAGCCTGTATCCCTCTCCTCTCTCTCGGATGTAGTCAAGCACCTGCGGCCGACAAACTGTATCTTAGACAGCATTCCCTCTCGCCTTCTCAGAGATGTTTTCGAATCAGTTGGAGAAAGTATTTTATTACTTATAATAAACAACTCTCTTAGCTCAGGATGTGTCCCAGCTGCCTTCAAACATGCCGTGGTGTAGCCACTACTTAAAAAGAAAAATCTCGACCCCTTCATTCTCGCAAATTTTAGTCCCATCTCCCAGCTATCTTTTTTATCTAAAGCCCTGGAGCGAGTAGTCTATGTCCAGCTGCAGTCTTTCTTAACCACGCATGGCATCCATGAAAAGTTTCAGTCTGGCTACAAACCTATGCACAGTACTGAAACAGCCTGTGGCAGCGGGGTGTGGTTAGGGCGCCGGTTAGGTAATCAGTGACTGAATAAAAGGATGTCGTAACCTGGTTCTGGGCTGTCTGGCAGTAGGCTGGATCCTGGAAGGTCGCCAAAGGACCTGTGAAGGTTCCCACACGGGCAACGTTTTGAGACCTGTGTATACTTTGTTTTGGTGCTAATAAACGCCTGTGATCAACCTAAACCCTGCTCTTTCCGTCCCTCTTTGAACCCTGTGTGAGCGGAGAGGCTCACACAGCCCTTTTAAGAGTTTTTAATGATCTGCTCCTAGCCGCCGACTCAGGTAGCCCAGCTGTCCTGGTGCTGTTAGACCTGACTGCTGCCTTTGACACTGTGGACCATAGCATCCTGTTGTCGCGGCTTGAACAGTCCGCAGGCATCACAGGCTCTGCCCTTGCATGGTTCAGGTCCTACCTGACGGACCGTAGCTTCGCAGTGCAGCTAGGTGCCTTCTCCTCTGCCAAAAAGCCCCTCTTACCAGTGGGGTTCCCCAAGGCTCGATTCTGGGCCCCATCCTCTTTCTACTGTACATACTGCCCCTAGGTTCAATTCTCACTAAACACAATATTCCCTTGCACTGCTACGCCGACGATGTACATATCTATCTGCCTCTCAAAGCAAATGCCAAACACTCACTACAGCAGTTGAAGGACTGCTTGATAGAGATCAAATCCTGGCTGAGCCAAAATGTCCTCAACCTCAACGAGAGCAAGACCGAGGTCATCTTCTTTGGACCCCAACCTCCAGCCTCTCCGGTTGATATTCTGGGCTCTCTCAATGAAAACATCCTCCCCTCTGTCATGAACCTTGGAGTGACCTTCACTAGCACTTTTAAATTCGACAAGCAGGTCAGCACTGTAGTCAAATCCTGCTTTTTTAAAATAAGACTATTGGCCAAAACCAAGTCGTATTTATCTTTTAAAGATCTATAAAGGGTTATTAATGCCTTTGTAACCACAAGACTGGATTACTGCAACGCTCTGTATGTGGGTATGGACCAGGTAGGGACCAGGCGTCAATTAGATGCCTACAGCTAGTCAAAAACGCAGCTGCACGTCTTCTGACTGGCCACACAAAGCGTGACCACATCACCCCAATTCTGGCCTCACTAAACTGGCTTCCAATTCGGTTACGAATTGATTTTAAAATCATTTTATTTGTTTTCAAAGCCCTAAATTGGCTGGCTCCGGCCTATATAGCCAAACTCCTCCATCGCTACACCCCAGCCAGAGCCTTAAGGTCGGCTGACCAGCTGCTGCTGGTAGTGCCCAAGACCAGGCTCAAAACCCGAGGGCACCGAGCCTTCGGAGCAGCTGGCCCCAGGCTCTGGAACACTCTGCCCCTCCATGTGAGGTCGGCACAGACCCTAGGGGTTTTTAAATCCTCACTAAAGACTCACTTCTTCTCCCTGGCCTTCTAGTCAGAGCGGAGCATGACACTTTTTGTTTTTTATATTTCTGTTGTAAATTATTGTCTTTTATTGTGATTGTAGTAATGTGTTTTTATTACATGTACAGCACTTTGGCTCGGCCAAACATCGCTTTTAAATGTGCTATATAAATAAAACTTGATTTGATTTGTTTCAACCACTGCCGTCTCGCCGTTCCCCCGTGTCCCGCCCTCTCTGTCTGTGTCTGTTTCAGTTTCGCCAGCAAGACTGCTGGTAGACCAGCATAAATACCAGCTTCACCAGCATAGACCAGCTTAACTACCAGCTAAAACCAGCATAGACCAGCATGACATCCATGCTGGGCTATGCTGGTTTAGCTGACCAGGCTGGTCTTGAACCAGCAAGAACAGCCTGGCCAGCTTGTCCAGCCTGGTAAACCAACTAAACCAGCCTAACAGCCTAAATACTTAAGTAAAAGTACAAAAGTATTGGTATCAAAATATACTTGAAAGTACCTATTATATATATTAAATGACTGGACTTCATTTTTGTAAGCATTAATGTGTTCATCCCAGCTGGTAAAAGTGGAGCGAATGTTCACTACTTTATCAAATCAAACTTTATTTATATAGCACCTTTCATACACAGTGGTAACACAAAGTGCTTCACAAAAACAATTCACAAATCGAAACAATACTTTATCCCCGTTCCCGGTTAATAAATACTGTATATACATACACACATACTGTATGTACTGCTGCTGGCTGTCTTAACCTATAATTATATCTGATAGTTAATTTATTGTGTTTAAGCACATATTCTGAATCTGTAAAATAACTAAGTAATTATGTCAAATAAATATAGTGGAATAAAAAGTACAATATTGGCTTCCAAATTGTAGTGGAGAAAGAGCATACAATAAAATACTAAGGTAAAGTACAGGTACAATACTTAAGCAAATGTACTGTTACTTTCCACCACAGCTAATGTCATTTACTCAAGTACACTTAAGTACACATTTGAGGTACTTGGAATCTACTTAAGTCGATTATTTCTGTGCCACAATACTTATACTCCACTACCATTCAAATGGAAATATTGTACTTTTATTTTGAGTAAAGGATCTGAATACTTCCTCCACATCTGCTTTAGGCAGCTTGAATCCAACAGTCATTGTATTTACTGAAGGTGCTCAACAGGCAAACTGATAACAGTTCTTGCTGAAAAAAGGGTTGACCAGGCTGGATTTAGCTCACTATGGTTTTAGAAGGGGTCTGGACATTTATAACTAGAATAGCTGATTGAACTGGAAATAGCTAAGAAAGCAATCCACATGTTTTATTTGTTTTTAATCAGTTCATTTACATGTCTCCAAGAGCCCTCCAAACAAATGTATATTGTCTGCATTTGGGCACTGGGGTACACAATCCTCCCTTGTCAAGCTCTGCCTCCTGTGAAAGGTGGTTTCCATCATGTTTGTCTTTGACCATTGTTTTTCTCTCAATCCCAAAATAAAAGAGAAGTATACATTTGTGCAGTGACCAGTGGCCAGCCAGAAAACATTTCCCGTAAATACAGGAAAGCCATTAATAGAGTGTGGTGAAAACCAGGCCAAATGCTAACCCGACTGGTTTCTGTCATTCTGTCTGTGGTTTACGCAAGTTCCGTTTGAGAGGGAATGATTGTGATCAGTGAGGGACTTCTTAAAGACATAGTGAGTTTCAGAGAAGTGGTCTTCAGTTCTAGTTTGTTTCAGTTTTAATTAAGAAGAAATTAAGAAAACATATTTTTTAAAGTTTTGATAATTTATTTTCTCTAAATATCTATAATATTAATGAACAATCGTCATAGTTTTTCAACATGTTAGATGAATTGGCCAATATTATTAGGATGAGACGGCTACTAATTACTTTTTCTTTTTGTAAGACAGATAAGTGGGGTGGGGCTTTATCTGAGACTTGGACCGAATGACTTAACACATCTAGGTAGGTCCAATGATGCTTGTGTGTGTGTATGCATGTGTAATGCATATTTACGCCCTCTCTGAGGACAGTGTGTGCAGTACGGTGGTGAGGATGGAGAGAAACCCCTTCAGAGCGCTGTCATCTCTTGGTTGCTGCTTCAGAGTCACTTTCACTTCCTCCTCTTCTCCATTTTCTCTGGCAGACTCTCTCAGCCCAGCAGATATGAGGTCTCCTCCCTCTCTCACATGCTCCTCTTTGCTGCCCTCCACCAAGTCTCCATCATCCGAGCCTGTCTTTACCACCCCCACCCTCTGATTTGCCTCTCCGGTGTACAGCAGCTCCCCGACTATGAGCGTGCTGTGTGGTGCGTTGCCACTGTGTGTGTGCTGGGTGTGTGTGAACAGGTACACCCTCCAAGGGAGTGTGTGCGGCGGGGTGAAGGCCAGTGTCTGGATGTTGACCAGCTGCATTGCAGCCTGAAGGCTTTGAGGGGAGCAGTGTGCTATTGCAGGGCCTCGGATGTGTTCCACAAGACATGCACAATCCTCCTCCTCTTCTCGCTTCTCAGCATCTAGCCGCAACAGTCAGAGAAACTGATGTCAGACAGACAAATGGAAGTTGAAATATAAAGTGGCCAGCCAGAAAATAATTCCTGTAAAGACAAATATTTATTTCAAATCCTGAGTGCTGCTAGCAGGAAATCCATTACTAGAGTGTGGTTAAAACCAGGAAAAACCTACAGTGGATTGACAGTGTTTTTGATATAATTTGTTTCTATGTGCGCCTTTCATTGAAGTACACTTCCATAACCTTGTTTATGTTCATAATTAATTTTTATTTATAGCATGTTTAACAGTCATAGAGTCATGCCTCTGTATTGTCCACACAATTTGTAATACATTGATGTGTGCATTCATTGTACACTACAGAAAGCTAAAAGAGAATATTGATATGTATTGTCAATGAATGTATAGACTTGAATAAAAAGACAATACAAAAAATACTTGTATGGCACTCTGTTTTCTCTCTAAATCTAAATGATATGCATATTTATTGTGAATTTGTTTGCTATTTGAGCAGTCAAAATAGAAACAGAGAAGCTTTCCTTCCATCTAGTTACCTTGCTCAGTATGCAAATCCTGTCGCTGCAGCCACAGACGCTCAAACTCCTCCGGGCTGAGAACCGGAGTGAGGGACAAACTGAGCGGGGGGGCTACACTGGATGCCAGTCCCTCAGCCGAGGAGTCCGAACACCCACTGGCTCTGTCTGAGGCTGGAGAACACATGGAAGCATGAAGATGGGAGGTCACAGAGAATGAAGGGAAGAAGGTCAAAGAAGAAAGGATAAGGATGCAGCTACAGGTGGACAGACGGAGCATTTGTTTTTTTCTAAAAAACAGATTGGCCTTTATTGTCATTGAGCTAAGAACACAGTTACAGTCAGCCACTCTAATAGATGATCATCTTGGCTAAAACAACAGTTTTGCTTGTGATAAAAAAGGTTGAACAAAATGTTTTCCATAAAGATAGGTGCTTCATTTTGCCAAAAGGTTGAACTGTACATTTTTGGTTGTTTGGAGGAAAGCTTACTGTTACAAACATCTATTCATTTGTTTAGCTAACTAATGCTACAGTTTATTTTTTTAAACATTGTATGTGATTTGCTAAGGGCCGGGACATTTTCGACACATTTCTAACCGGTTGACCAATTACAACAGCAGGGTTGCCAACTCTCACGCATCTGGCGTGTGACACACGCTTTCACTCTCAATCTCACGCTGCCCAAACTATTCTCACGCCAAAACAAGAATACCGAAGACTAGAAACGGTTTTGAAAACTGTTGTCACGCAGTGATCGTCTTCTCAATAGAACATCTTTGATAATGTAATCAGAATCAAGATAACGGCGTGGTGTTGTTGCAGGAAGTCCCAACGGAGAATACTTTTGCTGTAGTACATCTCTATATACATCGATACAACATTACGTGTTGATAGAAATCAACACGTAATGAAATAAACCCACGGTTTGATGATTGATAGGTGTGTGGGCTGTCTTTCATTTTGACACACAGAACAATGGGGGCTATCCACCCTTATCCACAATGTAAGTAATTCACACAGCCTCTTCCCTCTTCTCTTTGTGAGGAGAGAAGGTTCAGCAGGTTCAGCTTCATTTAAATATGTCGTGTAGTAATAGTGTGAAGCTGACAATTGAGCGGCCCGACCAAGCAAGGAGGCAGAGGCAGAACGTCCAAAAATACAACCCGGTGTGGGCATTTATTAAAATCATAAGCAAATGATTCACAGCCTCAATTGCTGTTCCCCTGAACACAGTCAGCAGCCACAAGGATCTCACCCACACTACCAGCCTCCAAGCAGACAGGGCAACAGACCCTAAATACACACACTAATCAGCAATTCAACACAGGTGTGGGGGAGGAGACAACACAGGGCACCAGGTGCACACAATCAACAGCCACAGACATGGGGGAAGGGGAACACTTTTAACATGAAACCAGGAAACAGAGACAGACAAACTTACATAAATTACATATATTCCCATGCTTCCTGTGCAATGTTTTTAGTGCTATATTACCCGTAACGGAGGCCGAGATCTATGGGCCCAGAGATCACCTCCATTACAAATAGATTTATTTATTTTTCTTCTCAAGAGAGTACCAGAATGTGTATTTTATGTTAGTATTTCAAAAAATCTCCTGGGGGAGAATCCCCCCAGACCGCCCTGCAGGGGTTGGGTTTTCAGCATGTCAACTCTTTCACTTGTGGGTAAATTGCAGGATTGGCTCCAGGTCGCCCTTTTTATTTACTACAAGATAAATGTGCCTTTTTATTTCATACAGTTCAATTTGGATTGAGACGGGGAAATAATCTAAACCTCACGCGTGGCGTTTCACTGTCAAGGGGAGCGTGTATGTAATTACATTGCAAATACTGACTTGAGCCCCACCACTGTATGGGTTAGCCCTACCATAGGTTACCCAACACAAATACTCTGGCGCCGATAAGTCAATTAATTGCTTATCGCGACAGGCACACAATAAAACACTGGAAACAAAGATGTGTTTGACTTTCATTAGTGAATGAAACTGTATGCCCTTTGCCCCTTTGTAGTCTGTATCCAATATTGTGTATTTGTATATATTGTATATCCTATATGCTAAGGTCCCGCTACTGACACGATAGCAGTCATTTTGTGCGCAGATGTGTAATGAAACCCATGATATCAAAATCTCACTCCAGCCAGGTACCCAAAGTTGGCAACCCTGCAACAGAGCTGGCCAGCTAACCAATAAGAGCAGACTGGGCTCTGGTTTCAGACAGAGGGTGAAAACAGGTGCTGCAGCACAGGCAGTATGAGAACAATAAAGAGCTTTTTGAACATTAAAGCATGGAGGCATGTCACAGTAGAGACACTACATACTGATATACACCTGAACATTTGATAGACTTTTCTAGGCCTGTCGATTTTCCCTTGAAGCGTTAAAGGGGGTTTACAGCAGGAGATGTGACTCCTGCTTTCTTACAGTGCAGACGCTTTTCTGCTTGCTCTTGCCTCTGCTTACTTGTCTATGCTGATTTTCCTATTTTTCTTTTCTGAAAACTTCGAGCAGCAGCTCCTGGACATTAACCTATCACTGGGACAGTTATTCTTCGTAAATAGATGGAGGGTTTCAGCCATATTTCAATATTTTGACGACAACCTCAGTCTTACAGTAGCGTGGCCTAGCAACAGCTAAAGCCTGGTACTGCGTGCTATTTAGCTTAAGCTAGTTAGCAGCAAAATGCCTCCGTTCTCTACAGATGACTTCCACAAACTTCTACAGAAGATGGCCGTGTTGGAAATGAAAATGCAACAGTTGGAAGTTAACGTGGAAGTGAATGGACTATGTTGGAATGACACCACTTTACCAGTGTTGCAAAAGAATGGACAAAGGCATGCTAACTTACAGCTAGTAAGCAGCTACAAGGATTCCAAGGAACAGGAGGGCTGTGTACTGGGTAATACATCTACAAGTGGTAGTCCTCCCTGGAACTCTCTGGGTGCAAAGCCTAAGAGTAAATCATTTCCATGGGATTTGGGAGGACGAATAACAGGCAGAGCCCAGCGCTCTGAAATCTGTGATGCGACCGGCTGGCCTGCATTGTTATCACCCAGGAAGAGCGCCTCTTCAACCCCTATTCATACTAGGAAACAGCAGTGGACAGCTGCTAAAGGGAGAATTACAAACAATCCTCCTAAACCACCAAGTGTGCCAATCCAGAACAGATACGATCCACTGACCCAGAACCGGAGATCTCTTTCTGATGACCTGGATAACCCGTCCTCTTCACACAGCAGGGCAATAGCTACTAGACCAATAGACCAATAGCTACTCCAAAAGTAAAAGGCTAGAGGGAAAGCTAACGACTAGGCCTGAAACTCGGATTGTGGGTGACTCTGCTGTAAGAGATGTAAAAGGTCTGTGTAGTAAGAATAACACCAACGTACTCTGTTTTCCCAAGGATGTGGTCTCTGACTTGGCTGAGAAGATCCTGCATATTGGGGCTGAACATCCGACTGTGAAGAATGTGGTACTGCACATTGGAACAAATGATGTTGTGAAACAACAGTCAGAAGTGCTGAAAAAAGACTTTAAATGTCTGTTGGAAACTGTCAGCTCTCTAAATGCGGAGGTGTTCATCAGTGGCCCTCTACCGCCAGTCAGAAGAGGAGTGGAGAGATTCAGCAGATTGTTTGCACTGAACACCTGGTTTTCAACTGCCTGTACTGACCATTCTGTCCATTTTATTGACAATTTTAACTTTTTATGGCAGATGGAGTTTGCCTGAACAAGTCAGGAGTGAAATTGTTTATCTCTAACATATTCAACTGCCTGCGTCATCAATCTGTTCCCTCTGCCAAGGACAAGCAACAAGAGGAATCAAAACAAGAAAAAGACACAACACATCGCTCAGAAAACCTTGAAGAAGTATCACTGTACCCGCCTGAGGAATGTCTTGATTATGGGAGACCTATGACACAAATGGAGGAGTCTCCACCGCCCCTCACCCCCCCTACCAACACCTTTGAGGATACTCTTCCTTCATCCCCCAGCGCTCTCTTCTCTCCGCTCACCCTTTCACACTCGCCCTAATTCCTGGAGTTCACTGAAAATATGAAGGCGATACAAAGGGGTAGCAGCATGTCCTTGACCCCCGTCCCTTAACGACGCCCACCAGAATCATTGAAGCAGAGCACGGTCTCCCTGGTCTTCATCACCATGCCTACCACAATCATCCGTACCAAAACGTCCTCCCCCTCTTCAAGAAAGCATCTGCGGTCTCGGAAGCCTGATAAGGATGTGTGTGTACAAAACGCAGCAAACTCTAACTGATATGTGCTGGGTCCAGGCTCAATGGCGTATGGCACTCTCAACTCTTTCCAGGACATGCCGGGGCCCTGCCTGCCAGTAGCTTTGCCAATATCTGTGTTGATAGGTAATAGATTGAGAGCAGTGAATCAGCTTAGAAACAGGAAGTGCTCAAACGTTTGTGTGAGTTTATCAAATGTAGCAGTGACTCCATATCAGCCACAGCTTGTCACAAACAATCTGACTGATAGTGTATTTAACGAACTTAAACTAGCTTTATTAAATGTCAGGTCTTTGGCAGGAAAAACATTTTTAATCAATGATTTTATCACTGAGCACAATCTGGATTTTATGTTTTTAACGGAAACTTGGATTGAACAAAATAACAGTGCAGCTGTTCTTATCGAATCAACCCCTCCCAACTTTAGTTTTACGAGCCAGGAAAGAATGCATAAGAAAGGAGGTGGAGTTGCTATTTTGTTCAATGATTCCCTTCAATGCAGGAAGACATCTTATGGGAACTTTGCTTCTTTTGAATATGTGGCCCTTCAGCTGAAATGCTCCTCTCGAGCACTGTTCCTAAATATCTATAGACCACCCAAATACTGTGCAAGCTTTTTTGATGACTTTACTGAAATGCTGTCTATAGTGTGTATTGACTTTAACCGTCTAGTCATTGTTGGTGATTTTAACATCCATGTTGACAACCCCCAGGACAGAGGGGCTAAAGAACTGTTTTGTGTTCTTGATAGCTATGGACTGACTCAGCATGTGACGGAGCCCACGCACAATAAGGGGCACACTCTGGACTTAATTATCTCAAAGGGTCTGAATATCTCTAAGGTTGTGGTGACTGATGTTGCACTCTCTGATCATTCCTGTGTTTTCTTTGAGAGCTCTA